CCGAAGGAAATCTTGATTTTTGATCTGGAATTTAAAATTTTTGTGTTGTTATTTTAAACGCATGCTAATTATCAATTAACCAATGAAATAGCTTCATTTGTCATAAATTATTCAAATAAAGCACTGTCCAATCAGAGGACGGTCCCCAAATCTGGGAACTATCCACGTGACCTGAACAAGGATTACGCATCCAACTCACAGACGTTCTCTCGCGCGCTTCGTCGAGAGTAACGGCTGTACACAGGCTACCTGTGCCCCCCTCCCCCGGCTCCTACGCCCCTGTTTAGGAATCTTGCACAAAACCTATAAAAAGAATGTTTGTAAGCACAACATAAAACAATAACAAATACAAAAAGCATGTACAGAAGTCTGGATGGTTGAGATTAGCCGAGGATTGAGATGGATTGTAAATGACATCTTGATTAGTTGTTGGCGGACACTTATTTTCAAATTCGCCGGTCAGACTTTGAATAAAAGACTTTTTGGTCAAAAATTGGTGACACTGCCCCTTTAAAGAACATTTTATACAATAAATTTATCGACAGTCACCTTTAGTTCATTTTCTTGCATAATACTACTTATTGCACATGTAGAATGTAATTAATTCTAGTTTTTAGGTAGTCACATTCATTATCCGCTTGCATTTTCACAGAAAAGGCAAAACATCGAAGTCGCTTGCATTTTCAGTTTTTGACAAAATTCGGAATATTTGACACCATGTTCGCAAGGCAAATTTCAGTTTGACGCATGCGCAGACGTTTTTCCGCGGTGTTCTAGATCACTGCAAGATATACACAGATATCGAAGGAACTAGATTGAATCTTGTAGTTTAGAGTATAAGAACACGGTTTTTTTACCAGTTTTGAAAAACGAAACATTTTGAAATTTGTATATGGAAAAGTATTATTCACTTAAAACCAGTTTTGCGTGACAAATGTCGTCCAGATGGCGGATGTAGCATGCTGAAACCTGGCTATAAGACAGCTACGAAAAAATCAAAGCATGCATTTAATGTCACAAGGTTTTGATGAATACAATCTAATTTTTACTTTAATACGCTTGTACATAGCGCCTTTCAAATTCGAACAACCAGCAATTCTGAAAGGTTTCTTGCAGATCAAATATTTAACCATGCACTCTTTTGAATTTTTTTGGGAGATGATGCGCTGCGTTTTTAAGAATGGAAAAATCAAGCGATATAATTTTAGTTTCTATTTTTGTTTTAGACACACAAAAGAGATGATTAAGAAACTAGAATCTGCTGGGTTGGGGTATCATGTGTCGGCTGGTGAAACTGAAGATAAATTAGGTATAATGCTACTACAATCATGAATAAAAACATATATAGGTTGAGCATTGATGTTTTTAGTATATAAGCTTCATGGGCAGTTGTATGAAACCCTAACTCGTTCCCTCATATAATGTTGTCTGCGCAATGTTCTAATTAAAAAAAAAATGTTGAAATGCTGGATAAAGGTGATGTTATATGGAATCGTAAATACGAAGACTAAATCCTGTGCAGTGCGTGGAAGACTTTTCCTGTACAATGCGTGGAAGACTTTTCCTGTACAATGTGCTAATTAATTCTGAAAATTTTTTACCAGAATTATTAGTTGCTTTATAAATTATTCAAGCAAAACCTATCGTATGAACCTGCATGCGAATTATTTATTTTTGCATGCATTCTACATTGTGTTCTTACCTAATATTTCGTCATTCGTTAACCATTTATTCTAGCCAACTCTAAACTCTGTTTTTGGTAACAACAAAAAGGTGAAATGCCAGGAAAATTACTGGGTCTACTTGCATATAAATCTCCTTTCTGACTTTTAATGTACTAATAAAAACCTTTCAAATTACAGTGCCGTCAACCATGCAAATATAATTCTACTGTTATACTTTTATTTACAGGTTCAATTCCACTTCGACAACTTGTGTATCGTGTCCACCCTTTGCCCGAGAGTATGAGACCTCTAGTGTGGGACTTTGGCCAACTTACAGATCATACAGAAGAACTTTATACTGCGCAAATGGTTCGAAGGTTCATGGCACCATCAACGCCAGGTGTAAGTATTATGACAACTGTATGTGTGTGTGTGTATATATATATATATATATATATGTATATATATATATATATATATATATATATATATATATATATATATATATATATATATATATATATATATATATATAATAAAAATAAAAAATGAATAAAATCAATTAAAATCTGTGAACTTTATACTAACCCTAAACCTAAACATAAACCTAAACCAAACGCCAAACCCTAATTATGCCAATACATTTGGTGACTGCATGGAATTGTAACCAAAAAATCATTCCATGAAAATATATGTAAATTAAGTCCATGTAAACAACTGTATCAAACAACCTATTTTTAATATTGTTTACTTCTTTTGATTTGTTTAAAATTGTAAAATTTTTGTTCGTATTTTTTAAAAGCTTGCTTCTGCCATACCAGCCACAGGAACTTTTGATGGAACTTTGCAGAATGGTGCTCAAGCATCTTGTATCGCCAAAGTGTTATCAGCTTCACAGAAATATATGCGCAACCAAAAGGTAAAGAATCTTTCTTGTGTACGATTTATTCGATGATTGGCTGCATATGACATTAAAGGTGATAATATGTGAAATAATTACAGTAAGGTCATGGCTATATAGTGTTCAGCTGATCACATATACGAGCTGGCAGATCTATGCGAGATTTGGAGCTCCAAATTTGGCGGATATGAAGCCAGCTCCACATTTATTGTATTTGCACATGCCGGTTTGTATATCATTGAATACAACCAGTTTAGCTGTTTCGCCAGACATTTATGCTTTATATATCAAATATGGATCGATTGCATGTAACGTCATGGGCGACCACATTGGTGGTACATGTATATACAAATATTCTCATTATCTTTCATTGAGTTTGGCACTAAGATGGCCGTCGTTCTATTGTCTCTTAATTCCCAAGAGATTGGTTGCAATCCACCCATAGGTGCATGAGTTGCAACCAGTGTCCAGGACAAAGAGGTTTTCGCATAGTTGGATGGAATTTGATTTCTGAACATGGAAAATTCTTTGTCAATTTTATTCACATGGTAATAGTGATGTAATGTAAAAACCACATATTTTCAAAGATTTAATGGTCGATGTAAACCCAATCATGATCACGACTGATATTTTATATTATTGAAACCAAAATCAGATCAAATTCCTGAAAATGAATATCCAACGGCCATAGAATTTCTTATCATAGTCAGATCCTGTCCTAGGGTTAAATCTTAATTTTAGCCTGAGACAGTTGAAGTTAAGTAATTCTTCCGGTCTATTATCAGTGATTGCCTACTATATATAAGGATCTGGATTTTCCATGCATTGAGCATGCAACTGCATTTATGTAGAAACTGTAAACAAATAAAGTGTACTGTTCATTGCACTCTTACCCCAATGGCCTTGTTTTGGTGTGACTATTTCCTCTTTCGTGTACATGAGGTTTTAGGATAGGTTTCTGACTACTCTAGATCAAAGAGAAATAAATTCGTACACGAAATATGGGGATTTATGTAAAACTTCATGTGCATGCACTTGTCATGCTAAAACAGACAAACACGGAAATGACGTCAGAGGCAAAAGTGCAATAAACAGTAGACAAGTCTGTTGTGCAAGGAATTTCTAACCAATAGAATTAACTGTATTATTTAACTGTATTTCAGGCGAAAGCGAGTTTTTTCCCCTAAAATATCCTTATAGGAATCAAGAGTATAGAATCACAAATTGACAATTGCTTTCGATGTAGATTTTCAGTGTGGCCAACACCCAAGGATTAGCTATTAATTTGTCAAACTTAAGTGTTTTTTGTCAAAGCAAGTTTTTCTAAATTTTTACTTTTTATCCCCCCCCCCCTCCACTCCCCCACATTCTTTCAATCCGTGAAAATTATAAACGACAATGGTTATTTCACAGTTATCAAAATCAAGTTTCATCCTTTCTTTTTCCAGAATAAATGGAACTTTCCAGAATGAAAATTATAAATGAATTAAAACACAATTTCCAGCAATCAAGTTTCATACGTTGTTAAATGAAATTTTTGAATATTAATTAATCCTTTTTTTTCAAGAATGAATGTAGCTTTGTCAGCTTGCGTGATGTTGAAAGAGCAATGAAAGTTATCGTATGGTTTTATTCCAACTCCGAATTGATCGACCAGGTTATTGGAGATGAAGATAATGTCAGAGATGAAGATAATGACAGTTCTGAAGAATCTAGTGAAGAAGAAAGTAGTGAAAATGACAAGTTGAACAACGTTGTCCAAGTTGAACAAGTGAGTTTTGTCTCCCCGAACGTTTATTAATTAACCAGAAGGTGTCTAAGGAAAACAATCTAGAAACCTTTTCGTTTTGATTCGCGACAAAGTCTGGTAGATGGTGTACAGTTTGTCTTACTTTTTACCTTTACCCTTTTTAGCCTTTGAGTCAAATTGTTCGTGCTGTTATCCTTGGCATTGGTGTGTGTTATTTTGCAAGGTTAAATGAAAGACAAGTATACTGTAAATACATTTGCAGATATTTTGATCATTCTTGTCCGTTACCTGGAGGTGCACCTAGGATGCAAAATGAAATTAGAAGGTAAGTAATTAGATTGGCGAGATTTTCTATGATACGGAAGGTTTAAAGTTAAACAATTTATATGCATGTATATAATACAACGCCCTCGAGTGAACTTCAAGCAAACAATTTAACGTACCGTATTTACTCGTTTGAGCGCCGCGGCGCACTTTAAATTTTTAGAGCTTCAGATGCGCGCTTATTCGGGGGCGGCGCTCAATCGGGGGCGGAGCTCTTTAAAAAAACTTTTATTTGTGTGTTATAACAAGAACTTTTAACAATAAAATAAACAAGTTGTAAACGATTTTTGTCACTAAATGTCCCCATTTTGACGGCGGAAAGTTTTTATACTTTTCAGTGCGGCGCTCATTCGGGGGCGGCGCTCTTTAAAAAAAATTGATCTCAAATGCGGCGCTTATTCGAGGGCGGCGCTCAATCGGGGGCGGCGCTCAATCGAGTAAATACGGTATACCGTTAACATAAAAATTGCGCCAAAAGACGACACTTCTTCAAATCGCACGAGAAACAATGATATTATTTAACAATTTGCAAGAAAATGGCCGACGTCCATAAATAATTTGAACTCAAGATCTTCGACTTATACAGGGTGTATCAAAAAAAGCGCAATCCTCGACTGAAATGTAAATTGCTAAACAAATAATAGACGAAAACGTTAAAGTTTACATTCATTTTAAAGCGTAGCCATTCAGCTTTCTAACAGTGGGTTGTTTCTTAAATTTGAC